CTACATACCAGACACATATCAACGATGTAGATGTTGATAATACGAAGAACGTGACATTGTGTTTTTAAATGTTAAGTTTTAGACTGGGTTCAGTGTGGCAGCAACGTTAAGAGTATACACCTGATGATGGCCGATAGAGGCCGAAACATGTAGTGTAGAAAGAACAAGATCAAAGACATATAAATGTATACTGTTTGCACTTAGGACGGAGTTTGTATCATTTACAATTACTTATTACACTATTGCGGATTTACACAATTTACAACATTAGAGCTATACAAATCTCACTAAATTACACACCTCAATCTCACTGCACTATAGCACACATACAGTCTTGAAGTCACACAGTATGTCCTCACTGCTGACTCTCTTAGCTTTCACTCACTATCACATATTACACATCAAATCTTCCCATCACACTTTACATCCTCACACACCAACCTCCTCTATTCTTCTGTACTCCATTTGCATTCCTCTCTCGTTAACGTGTAACTAACTCTGACTGCTTTCTTAATAATTCCAGTTTTTCCTATAAACCCTCAATCTGAGAAGCGGAAAACGCAGCCTGCTTTCTGTTGCGTAATCACTGCACTCACAGGAAACATATGTCACGTGATGAGTGACATCCAGTCTACGGACGAAGTACACACTGTTCCTATACTGTTGGCTGCATGTGTTTTGTGGGCGTTGTCTAGTAATGGGTCTACACGCCACAAAACTTTTCCTCAGTTCCCCTTCAGGAAAATGCTGAGATACTACCTTAAATTAAGTCACAACTTCCTTCCAAACTATGGCTTTCCCTAATAATCCTACGATGACAAGCTTTGCAGTCTAAGGCACTGACAGCTGTCAAACATACCACATAATAAGATGTTCACCGTTTTGGCATTGCAGGGTCAAGGCCGATTAAGCCAAAGTGCACTCGCAGAGCTGCTTCAGGATGACATGATCAATGAATATCAGCTCAAGGGAATCACCTTATAAACTGTAATACCAAATATTAACCAATTCCATACAGTTGCGCCTTTCCGCAGAAGCCACTAGTTGCTCAGCTACTCAATGACTTACCATGTTACTAAATGCAAGGGTTCATTACCATTCACTGCCATGTTCACAGCCTGACACTGGCCCTTATCCTGAGCTGGATGCATTCCATATTCATTTCTTTAAGCATACAAATACACAGCATCAGCCTACCTTCACACTCTTCTGAGGAAAAGAGCAACTTGTAAATCCATTTACACACTGCCCACTATTCTACTGACAATGACACAAATTGGAACACATTCCAGGACCATGGAGCAGGATATCTTCTGGTGATATAGCGGCAGCCAACATGTGGTGAAACATGAAGTAGAGCTCTGCTGATGAAAAGTCATTGAGTGACGAATGTAAGGTACATCTTATGCATAATGAAGAAAGGGTTCCTTGGCAAGAAAAGTGTCAGCAATCAGAGATCACTTGCTCAAGAGTGCCCAAGAATTAGCATCGGTTGCAGTGCATTCAGTCAATAAAAGGGGTATGGTGGGGGGCAATAACTGCACTGAATTTAGGTGCAATTAAAAGCTATTACTGTTATATCATTCTAATATAATAAATCTCTGAATATTAATGATTTTGTGCGATTTTATTAATGAATTATATAATTACACTAAATTTTCAAGTTACTTCACAATCTTCAGTTAATGTTCCCTCCAAGAAAGTGGAGATCTACAGGAAAAAGGAGTGCCTCAAAGACAAACCACTTTATTTTTGGATCTTATGAGAGACTGCTCAGTTTTTAGCTATCTGATACTCACAATGAAAAGATGTGTGCAAGTCTCATGATCCTCTGGATTAATTAATTATACTATTTTATTTCTCCACGAGCAGAATCAACATATCTTTATTTAACTTTCTTTTTACAATCAATGTATACCACAATAAGATATTTGTCTGCAATGACCAATATAGCATACTTTGTATACATCTGATCAATCCATAACAGTTTAATAGTTATCCCAACATACTCAGTCCAAATGATACACTGATGATAGACTGATTTGTAACTAGCTGATCAATGAATTTACTCACAGCAGAAGGTGGAAGAGCATATATAACATACAGCAAAAAGCAAATGATGCTGCAGAATTATATTTCTAAGCTATCAGTTTCAGTGACTATACTTTACTAATATCTAGCTTCCACTGCTGAATTAACATCTTAACTGTAGGAGAATGTCAAGTCATGTCATGTCATATCCCTTTCCAATCAACAAGAAAATGTCTTTTGTACATTCAGCAATCAGAAATAAACAAATACTCATACCAACTGACATTTTGTACCATTGAACTCAGTTCATTTCCCATCAGATGGAAAGGTTAGCAACAGCAAACAACTCTAATATCTTGTAGCACTACAAACATGCAGCATGCAACACAAAGAAAACTGTTTAATTTAAACATGAAATACTGTAAGCATGCCACAGTCACAAAGTATTCCTCTATTCAAAACCCATCTCTACTGCTCTATGATGTACTATACACATAAATATGTACAGTCAACTCTCGATTATCCGGGGGCGGATTAACCGGTTTGCAGCTTAACCGGGGCTACTGAGGCTTTTCTGAGGCTTATATGTTGTTTAATATTCATTCACTTTTGTTTCACATGGCGAGTTGTAACACTATTTTCGCACTAGTGTGAACCGAGCTCTGCATTCTTTGGTCCCGTTATGCTAACACAATGTTCTTGGGTAGGGG